TATATATTAATAAATCCTGTATGTATATGTATAGACTATGATGCCGCTAATCCAACAATGGCTGGCTATGAATGGAAAGCACAAGAATAAAGAATACATAAGTTTCTCAGTTCACAAGCCCGGATGTCTCAGCTGGTCTTCAGTATACTCTAGAATCCAGAAGAGGTAGGCTGCAATGCCAGTGAAGAAAGGGACTTGGTAGCAAGGTGAGAGAAAACAGGCAAAGAGCAAAAGTTTCCTTCTTCCATGCCCTTACATAGGCTTTCAGCAGAAGGTTTGGCCCAGATTAAGGGTGTATATTGCAGAATAAAATATTTGCTTAACTATGTAAAGGTGTGTTGCATTTGTTTGTGTTGTAGAACAATTGTTCAACTATGTAACAATGAGCTGCATTTGTTTATGCTGCACTTGTTTAACTATGTTTCATCCTGCCTGTCTAAGGCACCTGATTGGTCTAATAAAAAGCTTTATGGTCAATAGCTAGTCAGTAGAGGGATAGGCGGGCTGGTGGGCAGAGAGAATAAGGAGGAAGAGGAATCTAGGCTTCAGAAAGATCAAATGATGAAGAAAGGGAGACACCAGGGGCCAGCCAGCCAGACACAGAGGAAGCAGGAAAGTAGGACATACAGAATAAAAAGTAAAAGCCTCAAGGCAAAACACAGATAAAGAGAACAGGTTAAAATAAGTTTTATATAAGAGCTAGGGGGATAAGCCCAAGGTAAGGCCAAGCATAATACTAAGTCTCTGTGTCATGATTTGGGGGTTCTTGGTTGGAGATAGCCTACTACAGGGGTATCTTCCCCAGATAAACAGATCTGGATAAAAGTCCTGTCTTTCTACCTTAAAGATCTGGATTATTATGGTTGGTTTTTCCCTTCAAATTAAGCAGAAACACTTCACAGCTATACCCTATTGTGGCAATATCTTGTTTATACTCTAATAAGCTTGCTTGACGATCAGAGGGCAGAGCTAGCCACTAGCTCACCGTGGAGAGTCTGGAGGTCTGTACAGACAGACAGGAAATGAAATAGCTGAGCAGAGAGAGGAAGTGTTAAGGCAGATGAGACAGGAACTCCATCTCTTTTCAGTCTGAGGATTTCATAGAGGTAAGAACTTTAGTGGCTGGCTGCTCTGCTTCTCTGATTTTTCAGCTTTTACTGCCTAATATCTGACCAGTTAGACCAGTTAGACCAATTAGAACTCCTGTTATAACTTACATTTTGGGATTTTAGTTAATTCCAGATGTAGTCAAGTTGACAACCAAGAAAACCCATCACAGTATGTATGTATGTATGTATGTATGTATGTATGTATGTATGTATTTATGTATGTGATGGGAGATGTCATTCTGTAAATATGTTTCTCATACTGGTTAATGAATAAAGCACTGTTGGCCAATAGGAAAGCAAGATAGGCGGGACTGGGAGACATGGAGGAGAGAGGAATTAGGAAGTAGGAGACAGCATGGAGATCTGGTAGACCAGACGCCTGCCCCACTCCCCGGTAAGGAGACCACATGGAAATACATAGATCAACAGAAATGGGTTAATACTTAAGACAGAGCTAGCTGATAAGAAACTAGTACCGGGCCAACAGCATTATATCAAATACAGAGTCTCAGTGTGTTAATTGGGGTTGGCATGGCGGCGGGACAAGACCGGCGGCAGGTGGAAAAACCTTACTTCTTACATGTATGTATGTGTATGTTTGTACATGTACATGTACATGCCGTAATGTTCATGCACAGATCACAGAGCAGCTTGAGGGATTATATTCTCTCCTTTCACCATGTAAGTTAGCAAGAGCCCTTACCCCATAGGCCATCTTTATTAAGAGTTCTTACCCATGGGCCATCCTTAGTAAGAGCCCTTACCATGGACCATCTTTAGTAAGAGCTCTAACCCATGGGCCATCTTTAGTAAGAGCCCTTACCCCATGGGCCATCTTTAGTAAGAGCCCTTACACATGGGCATCTTGCTGGCACTGGACCTTCTAGATTGGGGAGCAAAACAAAATCATCCATAACAGTCAACTACTGTTTTGAAGATAACCTCTGACTTTCTCTGTAGCCTTAAAAATCCTGCAGCTGGGGGTAGTGGTGCATGCCTTTAATCCCAGCACTTGGGAGGTAGAGGCAAAGGACCTCTGTGAGTTCAAAAATATCCTAGTCTACATAGTAAGTTCCAGAACAGCCAGAGCTCCATAGTGAGACCCTGTCTTTAAAAAAAAAAAAATAGACTTTTGATGGAGTAATAAGTCAAGTAAATCAACGAAACCTCTCACCAATCCATTCAGTTACCACAGGCTGAAAATTCAAACTGTGTTGAAATTTAATTCTCATTCTGAAACATGAGTGGAGAAGCATGACTGGCCCATGCTGTTTACAAGTGGAGGCCTTGGGGATAACTAGGTTCACATACGTTTCTCTCAATGGACTCTCCGTACATGGCTATGTTAAGCTTCATAAGAGAGAGGAGAAGAGAAAAAAGGGGACGGGGAGAGGCAGAACACAGACATATGAATCCCCAAGACTACCAGAAAGATCATCACTGGACAGAGGCCCTTACACTGCCCAAACCATGGACTAAATAAACCCCCTCCTCTTTACAAATAAAGCCATTATTTATTTTAAAAATAAAGCAATTTGTTTATAGCAGCAAAAGCAAAACCCAAGATGAATACACTAATCATCCAACAAAATTAATAAATACACTTGCTTCCTGATGGTTGATCAGGGCTTTTTAGAAAGCTTAAGTGTGGGAAGACACAGAAATATACTGATGACCTCAAGTTAATCACGCTACCAGCGAAACGTGGCTCTGACTATCCTATGCCTGTCATTCAGAGTTTCAAAATGCTGCACGTCTTTGTTAGGGTTACTATTGCTATGGAGAAACACCATGACCAAAAGCAAGTTGGCTTGTATTTATTTGGCTTACATTTCTACATCATAGTCCATCACTGAAGGAAATCTAGACAGTAACTAAAGCAGGGCTGGGACCTCTGGGGGTGGGCAGGAGGTAATGTAGAGGCCATGGAGGGGTGCTCCCCATAGCTTGCTCAGCCTACTTTCTTATAGAACCTAGGACCACCAGCCCAGGGATGGCACCACCTAAAATGTGTTGGACCCTCCCCTATCAATCTCTAGTTAAGAAAATGACCCACAGGCTTGCCTACAGCTTGAATTTATGTTTATGGAGGCACTTTTTTCAAATGACTTCAGTTTGTGTCAAGTTGACATTTACCTATCCAGCACACACACTGATGCAGTCATTGCAAGGAATACCAAATCATAATTGGGAGTTTTCACCAAGTCTGCTTTAGGAAATGGAGTAAAGGAAGCCATGTGCCAGGACAGTTCAGCAGAGGTGAATGGATGATGGAAAGCTGGGTGGAGTGAAAGCAGGACATCCAGGGACAGATCGGAGTTATGATAGGAGTTTGGGAAGCGTGGGAAACAGTCCAATGGGACACGGGTGAGTCCCTATGGGCCCTGGTTAGTTGATTCTGTGGGCTGTTTTCTTGTGATGTCTTGACCCCTCTGGCTCCTACAATCCTTCCTTGATGGTTTCCTGAGCTCTGCCTATTAATTTGCTGTGGGTCTTTGCATCTACTCCCATTAGTTGCTGCATGAAAGTCTCTCTCTCTGATGATGCTTATGCTAGACACTGGTCTGGTTACACAAAACGATTGGTTTAGGTTTCATATCCCCTATTACTAGGAGTCTTCTCTAGGGTCACCCTTCCAGATGGTTTTAAGTCTCAACTTGACAATCAAAATGAAAGGACACATCATTTTAATTCACTAACGGTAACTCTCGGAGGATACATTACATATCATAACATTCATATACTTTCTCAATGTCAAAGGAAGTGTTAAAGGCTGCAGAGTTCAGAAAAACTGTCTTAAGTGGGGGGGTGGAGCATCTGTAGAGGATCACATAAGAAGCCACACACAACACAGACATTTCTAGTGTCACTATGAAATGGCTTTGCGGTCATAATTAGGAGAAACAGTCTTGGAGCCTTTGGACCTGGGAACAGAGTCAGAGTCCTTTGCTATGGCAGTTTCCTAGAGGAGGTTCCTTAAGTTATGCCTGCCACATTTTTGGTCTTGGGTGTGCCTTTTATAGTCCCGGGTGCAAGGCTTGACTGATGAGTGTGTGTGCCTGGTGCTTCTGGTTCAGTATTTTCATAGGCGTCATTTTTATTAGCATTAGTGATCAGTTTGTGTCTCCCTGTGTGTTGGCAGATGGTGGGTGCTAACCTGTATAAACATCCAGAGTAACTAAGTTCAAGGCTTTCGATTTGTTACATGGAGTTGTTCAAGGCCAGGCAGAACCCGGATGGGCAGGCCTGGCTTATTCTCAAGATGGATGGAAAGATGATCGGCGAAGTAAAGGGGCAGGATGGGGAGAAGACGGAACACGGAGAGGAAGTGGCCCCGGTGAAGTGGCAGACAGCCCACGGATGCCACCGGTGAGGGATGAGGGTCCTGGGCTGGTCTTGGCCTACAAGGGGAGTGGAGTTCACCATCTACCTTCGCCAGAGGCTGGACCTTCAATGGCTGGCTGGGTTCAGGTCTGGAATGGTGCAGGCAGGCAGGGTTTCCGTGTGTGTGTGTGTGTGTGTGTGTGTGTGTGTGTGTGTGTGTGTGTGTGTGTGTGTGTGTGTGTGTGTGTGTGTGTGTGTGTGTGTGTGTGTGTGTGTGTGTGTGTGTGTGTGTGTGTGTGTGTGTCACACACAAAGAAATAGATGCAGAAGAGATAGAACAGAGAGACACAGAGAGAGACAGGAAAGACACAGAGAGCGAGGAAAGACAAGAGAAGGAACCTGTGGCCCTACAGTGACAAAGTTTGGTGACACAAGGCGGGGGCGGAGCTTAAGGACGCCAAGGGAAGCCTCCTTTTTTTAAACCATCCTCTCCCGGACACGCCCACAGGAGGAGGGGCCTACGATAGCCCCGCCCCGCCCCGCCGCTGCTCTGTGACGCCATCAGCGGGCGACGCCGGGGGGCGGGGCTCCGCGCCGGGGTGCTTCGGCCCTGGCTGGCAGCGACAGGACCCGGCGGGGAGGAGACGCGGAGCGGAGTGTGGCCGGCGGGGCTGGCGCGACCATGGCGGACCAGATCCCCCTGTACCCGGTGCGCAGCGCGGCGGCCGCCGCAGCCAGCCACAGACGCGCGGCCTACTACAGCGCCGCCGGGCCCGGGCCGGGCGCCGACCGGCGCGGCAGGTAACCGCGGGCCCGGCCCTCCCCGGCGCCTCGGGTCGTCTCCGCCGCCCGCCGCCCGTCAGGGCCCGCGGGGCGGGGAGTCCGCCGGCGCCGCGCGCTCCAGAGCCGGGGGCCGCGGGCTGAGGGCGCCCAGGGACCCAGGGACTTAGGTGTGGGCGAGCGGGCCGCGGTGACAGGTGGAAACTGCCCTGCCCTGCCCTGCCCTGCCCACTGGCACTGATTTCTTCCTTTTTTTCTTTTCCCCGACGTGAAACGCTGTGTAGGCCCACTTTGTACTTACCCACGAGTGCACGACACAGTACTTTGTGTTGAGGTTAAGCTGTTCAGTGGGGCCCTAGGTTAGCAACGCAGTTAAAATGTGCAGACCTTGCTTTAAGGGGAAGTCTCATACTCAACGTATAATTTCTTACCCAGAGAAAATAATGCCATGATTTCTAAAAGAAACTTGAACATGGAGAGTTCAGGATTCAATGTCTAGTGTTGCTTTTCTTTTCTTTTTTTTTTTTTTTTTTTTTTGGCCTTTATAATTATGTAATGTTCTTTTTTGTTTCTGACCTTTTTTTCTTTGATTTATCTGGGTCATTTACCCCCACTCCCTCCCTCGCTCCCTTCCTTCCTTCTTTGTCTTTTTTTCTTTTCTTTTTCTTTTGAGTCAGGGTCTGACACTGTAGACCAATGACCTAGGACTCCTTATCCTGGCTCCACATCCTGGGTGTTGGGACTACAGGCATACACCACCATGCATGGCTCACTTTGAGGCCAGATTAATCTGCAAATCAAGTTCCAGCATAGCCAGCCCTTTTACACACAGAACCCCTAACTCTAAAAACAAACAAAAAACAAAAAGAAAAAAAAAATCACTTTTACTGTGTATTTATTATTTTGATATATTTGTATATTTTCATGCCATACACATGTCTAATTTTAAGTGTGTTGATATATTTGTATATATTCATGCCATACACATGTCTAATTTTAAGTGTGCAATTTTTTTGCTTTTTAGCAGTCATAGACATGTGCAGCCAGCCATTCCTAGTCAGTGTTGGAGCATTTTTCATCATCACCAACAGACAGACAAGTAAATGAACTACTTTGTGCCCTGCACCCTGAACGGTAACCCAGCCACCCCAGCCTTCAGTAGTCTGCCCTCCTGACTCCTCTGAATCTGTAGGTTTTGGGTTTTATTTTTTGTTCATGTGAGGTGTTGGTTTTTCTTTTGAGTAAAAGTAAGGCATCTGTTGGTTTTGTGTTTTTGTTTTTCTGTTTTAAGTGATAGCTGTACCAATCAGATTAGCTTTATAGTTAGGTGATTAATACACGGCAGTGAACATTAGTGTGTTGTCCATGTTTGTTAGTACTTTTTCTTTGAGTTTTCTAGTGGTGGAGTTATTGTCTCTTTGTAGAGGCACTTACCATGTTATAATAGCTAAACTTCATTGTTTAAAAAGAGACTCATGCTGAGAACAGATGGGTGTTGTCTGGTTATCTGCAGAATAATTGTGTTTCTTGGTATATGTAACACAGATTTTTATAATGCTAATTTTCTTATTTCGAGGATCTGTACATAATTTCATTAGAATCCTAAAAGTTTCATAATTATGATGCTCTAATATTTTAGTAGTTGTAAAGATGAGCAGTTGTAGCTGTGGTAATTACAGCTGAAGGGATGTGGTGTTGGGGATACACCCAGGGCTCAGGAGCACTCAGACTCACAGTGAATCTTAAGATGGTACTCTTCTATTTGCTCTGGCCTGTGGAGATACATTTATTTTATGATTTAATAAAGATGGTAGAAGGTCAGAAAAGCAAAGCATACAAGCCACTGGCTCTTGTACCTCAGGCTGAAAGGGCTGATGCTGTCTCCACGAGCTCTCACCAAGCCTCAGACTGCTGTCTCTCCTCAGCGTGGCTGGAGACTAAATCTCGGAGTGCAGCCTGAGACACTGGGCTCATTTATATAGCTTTCTAGGGCTGGAATTAAAGGTGTGAGCTCTGTTAATCTTGTGTAGCCCTGGGTGGCCTTGAACCTGCTTTGTGTGCATACTCACAAAGTAGAAAATGTGTGTGCTTCCACTGCCTAGCTCCTGTAGCTGACTAGTGTGGCTGGCTTTGCAATCTGATACTTCAGGCAGTCTTTATTAAATCATAAATAATACATCACCACACTGGCCCATGTTTTTCTTTGGGATTTCTGAAATTTTTGTAGAAGTTAATAAAAATTTCACTGGAAAGGGATCCATAGTTCAACTTGAAAATAAAAGAAATTCTTTACATCTGTCAGAATAGGCATGTTTCACTTAGTTTCTTCATATCCAAAAGTGTTAGTATGAAGATAGAATTGAAAATAAGGTCTAAAACAATTATAGGCAACTAGAATTTATGTCCTGAGCTAACAGGCCAAGGCCCTTAAAATTTCTCTATTTGTATTTATTTGGGGTTTAATACTGGACATTATGTCATTGATTCTAGTTCAAAAGTTTCTATTATAGTATTGGTATAATTCCTTATTCTAAGAATTCTTAGGTTTCTTAAATCTCTAATCCATTGGGGCTGGAGAGATGGCTCAGTAGTTAGGAACACTGGCTGCTCTTCTGGAGGACCTGGGTTTGATTCTCAGCACCCATGGCAGCTCACAATCAGATGTTACTACAGTCCCAAGGAATCCAATGCCCTTACCTGGCCTGGCCTTCATGAGCGTCAAGCATACATGTGATCTACAGACATACATGGCAAATAAAACGCCCGTACACGTAAGAAATGAAATTTTTTAAAAGAGGGTTGTGGTTACTTCCCAGCTCCAGGGACTCGTCTTCCTCCTTGTTCTTGTTTCTTTTAACCGTGACCATGGCATTTTTTCTGTTGCTGTGTCCTCAGTCACTTTGATGATGGTGGCGCTGGTCATTACTGTCTTACCGTTAGTTTAGTTTTAGTCTGTTTGCTGAGTCTAGGTACTGTATAAAGGGCAGGCATTGCTCTCTTTCAGTTCTAAGGCTACATGGTTCATTGTCGATGGTTTAATGCCCGCATATCTGCTTGTTTTTTTCTGTGGCACCAGACCATAAGAGAGCCAGCCTCCTTTATGATAGCAGTCACCTTTTTGAGGTAATGAGATGCCTGCCAGTTCACCCACATGCAGGTCCCACTTAGCTGGCCCGTGATTGTGAGACCAAGCAACTTCCCTTTAGCAGCAACAAAAGAACTTCAACCACCCTGTGGCTTGATAACCTCAGGCACTGTCTTGTTGCTTGTTATCATTGGGTTTCTCTAAATTCTTGTCTTTCGTGCATTTGGTGAATTCTTTATACTAATTGTACATCTATCTTCCATAAGCCTTTCTTCATGGCCAAGGGGAAGTGCATTCCAGCCTTCATACCCTTTTTGTTTTCTGCTCATGAGGGCTGGAGAATCCCCGTTTCTCATCTGCTTCATGCTAAGGACTTGTAAGTGACACAGTCGAACTCCACAGTTCCATTTGACGGGGTATATGCAGTTAGTTCTCTTACATAGCACTTTCTTGTGTTAGCATGCAGGCAAAGAAGGCTATGTTAGTTTTTCCAAACTGTTGAGCATTAGGTTGTACTTTAATTTCTTACTTTAATATAAATTCTCAAGAATATTTTTGAAAGAGCAGAGCTGTCAGATACTTAAGGTAATGTGTAAATATAAGATGGCCACGGCATCCGCCTGTTTTCACTTAGATTGATGGAAATGTGTGCCCTCCAGTACTTGAATGTCAGTTGCTGCCCGTGGCTGCAGCTGAGGTGGCATGTCCTCCTCCTTGAATGAGGCAGTACACTTGGGTCTGTGTCATCTGTTGTGTTTTCTTTGTTCACATTGTTTTTACTCACTTTAAAAATGTTTCCGGAATTATACTTAATTGCTGGAAACGTTGATTTCTCTTGAGTGACAAACCAATTAAGTGTGTATGACACTGGGCAACAAAGACACTTAGGATTCTCTGCTTACCCTGCCTCTGGGAAAGAAATCCATTATTCATCATCTTATTGTTTTTAAATACTGAAGTGAAATTTTCAGTACAATAGGAAAATTGCTTTGGAGAGGGAACAAATTGCTTGCCAGTTCAAAGGCTACATTTCTGCAGTCTAGGTTACTAGACTTGGTATTGCTCATATTCTGAGTTCCAGAGCTCATCACATTACTCTTCAGCATTAAAGTTGGTAAGACTGATGTTTGCAACATGATCATTGAGAGAACCTTCATGAAAAAAAAAAACCCTAAAAAATTTTATTTTATGTATATTAACTGGTTCTGAATTTTGATTGTAATTTGAATATTAATTTTTTTAGTTTGTTTATAAAGTTTGTTGAAAGATATAACCTTATGCAGAAAAGAAAAAGAGGACTTTTTCATGGAACATAGTTGCTTCAGGTTCCTTTGTGACTCACCCTGCCCCCAGTCACCTAAAATGTAATTTGTAGAAGATTATATGGAGCCACTAACAGTTTGGTTGGCTGAGGGCATGGCTAAAGTGGAAGGAAATAGGTGCCATTTCTTGTAGTGTACTTAGCTTAACAGAGGTCCTACATGGCGTCATGCTTGGTGGCAGTGAGGGCAGACGTGTCACCCTACACTGTTGCTTGTAGCCTCAGGAGTTCTTGCAGGGACCTCTACATAGAAGTCAGACAAGAATTTCAGGCCAAGCCAGTATGAAGTGGAGTCAGACATTAGGTTTAAACACAGAGTTGAGCTAGGCATTTAATTTAGAACAGGAGACAGGTCTAAAAAGAGCTCGGGGCCAGGGCCAGGGCCAGGGCCAGGCACACGCCTTTAATCCCATCACCTAGGAGATACAGGCAGCCTGGCCTCTGAATTCCAGGGCAGCCTGGCCTACATAGCGAGACACTGTGAAAACATAGTTTGGGGCCAGTGAGGGTCTCCTCAGGGTTAAGTTCTTACTGTGCAAGCCTGAGGAGATGGATGGAGAATACCAGTTCCTAGAAGTTGCCCTCTGACCTCCACATGTCTACAGACATGTATACACATGTATAATAATAAACAGGAAATTGAAGAGGGCAGTATTACATGTCCTGAAGTGGGCATGAGCTTCTCAAAAGTCTTAATCAAGTTTCTCAAGAAAAGCTATCCACATGATTTTTGTGGTTTTTGAAATTATTTTATTGTAAGAAATTAAAAGGTTTGGTAAAAAGTAAGTTTTGGTAAAGTATCCAAGGAATCTTAATTTAGGGACTGAGATCATGGGCTGGGATGTGGCTTGGTGAAACCGAAGCCCAGGTTTCTGTCTCCATCACTGTTGAAACCGTGGGCTGCACAGTTCCCTGTTGGTGTGCACTAGTAATTCCAGCACTTGAGGTACGGAGACAAGTACAGGAGATGCAAGAGCATTCTCAGCTACATAGTGAGTTGGATGCCAGAGTGGGCTGCATGAGACCCTGTCTTAAAAACATCACTCTCCCCATCTAAAACCCAGACAAAAGGATGAGATCATAAGGCGGTTTCTGAGGTGCGCTGCTAGTCTATAGACTCATAAGATAAAAGCGTAGGTCACAGAGGTCAGAGGAATATTCTTATTTATAAACAGGTCATAAGGAAACTCAGACATGTTCTTAACTGATGACAAGGTTCATGATCTTGTTTGGGAGACACTCTTGATTCCCAGTCAGCAAGGGTGAGGGGCCCCTTTTCTCATGATTCTTCTGTTTTCTCTGTTTTTTCCTCCTCTACCAACAATATGATAGCTCATTTTGTATGTGTGCATGTGTCATTTTGCATGCATGAGTGCTTTGTCTGTCTGTTCTTGTATGTGTACCATGTATGTCTTGATGCCAACAGAAGCTAGAAGAGGGTGTCAGACTTCAGGAACTGGAGTTGATGGGCTACTGTGTGAGTGCTAGGGCCTGAACCTGGGTCCTCTGCAAGAGCAACAGTGCTCTTAACTAGTGAGCCACCACTTCAGCCCTCCATCGTGTAATATTTATTTATTTATTTGTGATAATTTTTAAATTGGAAACAAGAGTTTTACATGTCAATCCCAGTTCCCTCACCTTCCCATCCTCCCCTGTCCCCCTGCCCCAACCCCCATCCTATCCCCTTGCTGCTCCTCAGGAAGCAGACTTCCATGGGGAGCCTTCTAAGGCTGTCACATCATTTGGGGCAGGGCCCAGGCCCTCCCCCATGTGTCTAGGCTGAGGGACTATCCCTCCATGTGGAATGGGCTCCCAAAGTCCATTTGTGTACTAGGGATAAACACTGAACTAGTTCTTTGCTCATGGGTATTAAAACCTTTTCTATTTCCTTGATTCCTCTTTCTAATAGTCAGTCAGTTATGGTTATCTCTGTAGGTAAATTTCTGCAATTGTTTAATTCCATGGATAATTTGAACCTGCAATTACAGTAGCTATATATTACTGTGTAGTAACATGAAGACTTACAGTACATCTACATGAATGTTCACTACTCTTGCCAGCGATGAAGAAAGTCTATCCAAGAGTGTTGGTATGCTGTACTTAAGAATTCATTTTCTAAATGGCATGTAATGGTACATGTCTAATCCCACCACTCAGGAGGCTGGGGTAGTAAGGTCTCAAGTGAATTTTAGGCCAGCCTGATCTGTATGGTGAGGCCCTATGTCAGATAGCAACAGCAGAAGAAATACTTCGTCTGCTTGACACACAGGGCAAGGCACACCTTTAAAGCTTAGAGCGTCTGATGAATATTGATAGTTTGAAATGAGACTAAAATCCTTTCTGGTGCTTCCCTGGCACTGTGTGTCTTGTCCATCTCTTTGTATAAACATGGAGAGAACGGTTTTTGGAATAGTGTGGTTTTGTCAGTTTTTCATATCTAAAGATGCCTTTCTAGCACTCACACGTTGCTGCTCAGTGCCTCTCCCTCCCTTACCTTCAAGATCTCTGCTCTCTGGGCTTCCAGGCCTTCCGTGGCGACTGTGTTCCAGCACTTGGGGGTACACTGCTTTTGTTTTCCTTCTTAGGACTGTGATGGAAACAGTTTGAGGAAGGGAGGGTGTGTTTTGGCCCTGCCTGCAGTCTGTCCTCGCTGGGAAAGAGGAGTGGGAGGCTCCTGGCCACATTGAGTCCACAGTCACTGAGCAGAGCTTGTGTTCTGGTTATTCACCCTGGGGCCTCAGCTATGGGATGGGTGCACACACTTTGAGAATGGGTTTTCCCTCGAAACCTCCCTCGAAACATTCCTCTCATGGATCTAGGCAGAGGAGGGTCTAACTGCCTTCAGGTTGACGGCTAAGATCGCCGGCAGAGGTGGCTTGCTGGGTGTGCTCCCTTTCTGGATCGCTCCCTCTGTAAGTAACTCTTTTGTCCCGTGTGCTGGCAGGCTTACCGTGAGCAGGGCATGCGTGCGTGTTTAATGCTGTGTGCTCATTGCCTGGCACAGGTGTGGCCCACCTGGGCACTGGATTGTCTAGTGCACAAGTGCTAATGTGCTTAGACACACCTGTGTTGAGTTTAGCTGTACTCCTTTGTGGGTTGCCTTGGCTCATTTGTCATCTGAAATGTTTGATATATTTTGTGTTGAGAACTGTCTTGTCCCCAACCGTCCCCTGTCCTTCTTCAGTACTCAGAGTACAGATGGCTGGCCTGGTGCCTGGTGCCTGGCAGAGGTCAGGTCAACACTTGGTTTACCATTGTCATGAGGCTTATCTATTCTCCATGGCTTTGTAATTAAAGAAACCCTCAGGAGGTCTTTTGATTCTGCTTTGTGATGTAAGAGACAGACATATACTCTGTATCAATGGTTCTCCACCTTCCTATGCCTCAGCCCTCTAATACAGTTACTCAAGTTGTGGTGACCCCAACCATAAAATTATTTTTGTTGCTACTTCATAACTTTAATTTTGCTACTGTTAGGCATCATAATGTAAATATCTGATATGCAGGATATCTGATATGAAACTTTGTTTTAATAAGAGAACATGCAGTTTTTATCTGATTCACCTCGTGCCATAATACTTTCCCACTCCATACGTTTTTCTGCAGGTTTCATTTTTCTTTTACAGTTGAAGTGTGTCCCATGTGGACACATGCATACTGATTTCTGTGATAGCAGAAACCTCCACCCCCCACACACACACACACTGTTCACACCATTTGTTACATCATCTTTTCTTACGCCATTCTGACTGCAGTGAGATGGGAACTTGAAGAAATTTTGAATGACTAGCAGTGTTGAATATTTTTAAAAGTACATACAGGGCATTTGTGTTCTGCATTTGAAGATGACGTGTTTGTTTTGCCACCTGGCAGAGCCCCCCCCCCCCACTTCTCTATATGGTCTATAGACAACCCTGTCTGTAGTGCACCTGGCAAAAGCAAGCTCACCCTGTAGGTGTGTTCACTGCTGATTGCTTTTCTCGGCTGAGCAGAAACTTTCACGGTTTCATATTCTCATTTATTATTCTTGAGGCCGTTTCCCTTGTTATTAGAGACAATTCAGACAGTACTTGCCTATTTCTCTGAAGAGAGAGACAGCGTGACCAAGGGCGACTTAGAAAAGGAAGCATTTGGGGTTTAATTAGTGGAGGGTGAGCCCATGACCACTAGGGAGGAGTGGGGAGAGGGTGGGGAGGACGGGGAGAGAGTATGGGCTTTTGAATCCAACTTCCAGTGACACACCTTTTCCAACAAGGCCACCCCTCCTGATCCTTCCCAGAACAGTTCAGTCAACAATGGGAAAAGCATTAGATGTGAGCTTTTGGCTGCCATCCTCATTCAAACCACCACAGGCGATTGGTAAAATTTGGCCAGAAACTGTGCCAGGGAAGCATACTACCAAGACTGCTGAGCTCTCTGCTTTTCCTCCAGGTGCCAGCTGGAGGATGAGTCTGCCCATTTGGATGAAATGCCACTGATGATGTCTGAAGAAGGCTTTGAGAATGATGAGAGTGATTACCACACGTTACCTCGAGCTAGGATAACTCGGAGAAAAAGGGGACTAGAGTGGTTTGTCTGTGGTGGATGGAAGTTCCTCTGTACCAGGTTCGTCATGTGTCGCCACCTGATTATCATGTGCACAAACAGTCTGTGTAGACGTTTGCCTGCTAGCATATTTGTTAACATGTAGACATATGTTGGTATGAAAACTAAAGAAAATGGCATCCGTCGTCGTGGAGTGTACTAACACTAATCCACATCAGAGAATGCTGTTCTGAAAGGGAAAACACAATTTATTTCCAGCTTTGAATGTTCGTCTCTTTGATTTCTGAATGCCAAGTATTCTTCCATTCAGAATTATTGCAGCTGCTTAGGATGGTTCTTATAGCCGATGTTTAAAATTAATTGCAGGAAGAAAATTTTAGTGAATATTTCAACACAATTAGATCAGAACTAAGACTAGTGAGTTTAAAAGTTTTATTTTCAATATATCATTGCTTGTATACCCTGTGCGTAATTAAGGCTGATTTAAAAATTACTGTTAGTATCGGGCTGAGTAGACACTTCATGACTCAAAACTGGATTTTTCAGATTTGTTAATTGGCAACATTTCCAGCCTGAAGACTTAGAAACGTCTTGCAGAAATGGCTGTGATTGTTACTTTTCCAGTTTTTAATTTCTCCGTGTGAGTGAATCAGCTTCCCGTTGCCTGCCATGAGGGACATTGATATAATGATGTATCTGTTCCTCTGATCGGAGCTGATGATCTTTCTCATGAGACTTACATTTCACTTGTTATCACAAATCACCTGTCCCTGGAAAATTGGAGCCAGGAATGCATTTCCATATGAAGGGAGGAGAAGAGGGTATCAGGTGCTGGGATTATTCCTGTCTAAGTGGCTTTGAGTTAATCTGTGAAACATTTGGGGTGCAGAAGCACGGGAAAATGCTCATCTTGTAAGATGACATGAATACCCTGTTGTTTTGGTCATGGTAACCAAAGATACTTGCAGTTAGATATAAATAATAGTCTAATTTGTAGGAGATAATGAAAAAGAAGTGATCTATATTTTGAGGATTATTTAATCATGAATAAAGTTCTAAAAGATAGATTCTTAATATGTAAATATATTTTATTTAATGCTTGAACACTGCTTTGATTGTGGAGGCATTTATGAAAAAGCTGATCTTAAAACATGGTAAAGACAAGTATAATTTATATTACTGGATTTACTTACTAGATTTGACGCCATAAGACATTGTATAAATCTGAAAGTATTCTTTGTGTAATCAGTAATTTAGAATACATAGAAGCGTTATCAAGGAAATACCCAGTTACTTCTTCTAGAGACCCCCCTCTCCTACCCCCTCTTTCTCTTTGTTTTTCTGAGACAGAGTTTCACTGTGTAGCTCTGGGTGTCCTGGAACTCACTCCATAGACCAGGCTGGCCTCGAACTCACAAATTTCTCCCGCTTCTGCCACCTGAGTGCTGGCATTAAAGGTGTGTGCCACCACCCCCCTTGAGACTTCTCTTTTGTCGTCCCTCTTATTTTTTAGTGTTTTCTGACGTTTTGCTTATATTACTTTGCCCTGGAAAATTCCCCATAATTTAATTTTTTTCCGTCATCTAGAAGTCAGTAAGGGTCACATCCACTTTTTAGTGGAGTTAGGGTTCCACACTGTGGTCAAGCTGTCTGGGAAGGCACTGTGATACACAGTCTGCCTTCTTTTTTGGTGTCAGTCTCTGTCTCAGCCTCTGAAGTCTAGGATGTAAGTGGGACTTTCCACACCCAGCTTTCCCCTGAGCATGCAGCATGCAGCCCATCATGAGTGCATTTCTCGTTCAGTTCTGTGTAGTAGTGTGCACTTCATAGTTTATCCCTAACTAAGAAATTCTGTTCGTACACTGTGACATTATTGGCAATAACACATCTCCTAAATTTGTAATGTATTTTTCAAAGGCTTAGCTTTGTGGATTTGCTGTTTTAACTTGGATCTCTGTCTCTGTATATTTGTATAGCAGATTAATTATTTATTGCAGAACAAAACTTTGTAACAGTGCATTTCTGATGAATTACTGCTGAATTTTGAATGCTGGAAAGAAGTGTGTTCATAAGTAGCAGTATTCGCTTGAGGAATGTGACCCATAATTGGTTTGTTTATAAAATGTCCATCTTTTGGCCACTGGATTCTGTATTGGACTGTGAGGTCTTGTATCAGATTCAAGGTTCAAGAATCATGACTTTGTAATAGGGTGTTAAAAAGTACCTGGTAATGACAGATTGTCCTTAGACAGTGGCTACAACATTAGATAAGGAATACAGTCAATCAGTATTGATTCTAAGTATGTGGAATTAATTTAGACCTTTAAAAAAGGCATATCCCATGTATGTATATCTTTTGTTTGGTGCAGTTGCTGTGATTGGCTGATAAACGTCTGCCAAAGAAAGAAAGAACTGAAACCTCGAACAGTATGGCTTGGATGTCCAGAGAAGTGTGAAGAAAAGCATCCTAGGAATGCTATAAAAAATCAGAAATACAATGTGTTTACCTTTATTCCTGGGGTAAGATGATTCTGTCTTCAATGTCAGTTGTGTGTCTGGGCTTGCTACTTTCCTTTGCCTCTGGAAGACACTTAGAGACTCTGGATGCTGATGTCACTGTCTATCCATGCCAGCAGCAACTTCCCGTTTCCCACCTTCCCATTCAAGTGATTACTCAAGACTTCCTTTGTGTTTTCCTGGCTCTATCTACTTGAGAAAATGTACTGTTTGATTATTGCTTTCAGTTCTTGATAAACATTTATGTTACTGAAGTATAAAAGTATGGAAACACTAGAGGAAAGGTAAATAAATGATCAGGAAACACATTATAATTCGGGAATACTTGAAATTTAAGAATATAATGTTGAAGTCTGCCAAGGAATTTATAAAGGTACACAGTTTGCTCACATTAATGAAATATTTCTATGCATTTATTTATAGATGCCCTTTCTATATCAATCTGTTAACCTCAGGCCTTGTTACAGTGTTAGCTTATTAGTTATGTGTAATTGAATATATTGTTAAATGTAAATACTGAAGTTTAAGTATCTTAATACTTTTTGTTACTAATTCTTTTGATTAAATTATAAAACTGGGTTTACTATGAATTTGAAATAGTGGATTAATCTTTGATTTCCTATTTTAATAGGTTCCTGTTTCTTTATGAATCTAAAGGCAGCTGATATGAATTATGAGTCTTTCATTTTACAGGAATTTGTTTTTTTTTCTAATCATTGATTCTTTTTTAGCAGATAGATCAACATGGTTGATCTGTAAAAAATCTCAATCATGTATCTTATATTTCTGTAACAAAAATGTTGGCACGTTTAGTTCTTACACTCTGTCTTGTAAGAAAAGGTCTTGATTATGTGGAATAAAAGTTGTTTTATTCAAGTATCTATGCTGACTGACCATAATGGTCCTCCCCACTCTGTCCCCAACCATTCATTAATAGGCTTGATATCTAATGTGCTTCTTTATTAAAACATGGCTAATGACTCCATAATTTAAAAAAGTGATCTTTTATCAGGACAGTAAAATGTAAACCATTTTTTGGTCACATAAATGTTTTCATTTTTATTGAACAAAGTCACTGTTTTCTCCTTAAGAATAAAGTATTAAATACAAAGTGTCTAAGAATGATGCATTGTCACCAACCTCACTGAGTACATTTTAAAGTACTGGTCATAGTTAAAGCCAGTAGTGTGGCTGAGCTTTGAGGAGTGTACATTCCCACAGCCGCTTGCACTCTGGGAATACCTGTTGACAGTTTGCACAGCGCTTGCTCACTGTGAGCCTGAGTTTCTTCTTCATCAAGTCCCTGGAATTAGTCTTTTCATCTAAAACGTAGTTTTTCGAAACATTTAGTAATTACACAGTAGGAATTCTGTGCCATTTTTAGCACAAATGGCAATTTCTGAATTGCTAATAGATATAATTTGTGCTGAGATCTTACAGAAATTGCTGAAGAAAAAGAGCTTTCTTTCCTGCTGAGATTAATTTATGAAATAATTCAAAACATTTTTAGACAGCAATTGAGCATGATTATGGATATAAACATATTGTGAGTGTGACTGTTTTTGTTGCACACAGAATTGTATGATGATGGCAGGTAACTTCAGTATGTACACCTGGTTCTGGCTCTTTAAGCCAACAGTAACCATTCAACCCATTGTTCTCTTGGTGAAATAGCTGTCTTCCACCTTGGACAAGTCATGGCTTCTAAGGAGATATTTGATTTATACTTTACAATTTTGCAAGCTTAACTGAAAATACTGTTATTTGAATTCTTTCTTTTTTTTCTTTTTGGTTTTTTGATACAGGATCTCTGTATGTACCCCTGGCCACCCTAGAGCTTACTATGTAGATCAGGCTGGCCCCCAGTTTGCTTGCAGAGATCTGCCTGCCTCTGTGTCCTGAGCACTGGGGTTAAAGGCATGTACAACTGTGCATAGCTAAAATTATTTTTTGTTAACATAACTCGAATCACTTCTTTTAAAAGTTATGTTTTAGTTTTTGTTTTTCTTTCTTTTGCAATGTTGTGATTAAACCCAGGCCCTCATGTATGCTGGCCTACCTCTGAGATACTGTCTTCAGCTCTAGCTCTAAAATCCTTGAATTAAAAATAGCGGGGGAAAAAGCAAAACCTTTCAGTTTTAGCAATTGTAGAATGTATTAAATATTGAAATTTATTTCATATGTGAAAGTAATTGAAAAATCAGGCACTGACAGATGGCAAGGAGTGTGTAGACTGCTGTCTCCCTGAAACTGGTCTGTTATTCATACGTGTCCATTCTGTGCTGAGAGCTAGTGAGGTCCCAGCAGTCATGCTTGAACCCATTGGCTTCTTCACTCCTTGTTTGTAAAGCTCAGCGTCCTTGCTGAAAAGCACACTGCTATTATGTTTTACACACACACGCACGCACGCACGCACACACTCATGCACGTACTCACACACGCCCGTGTGCACATACACACTCGCATGCACACACATACACACTCACATGCACGCACACACATTCTCACATGCACACTCACATGAGCACACGCACACACACACTCACACATGCTCACACACGCCCGTGCACACATACACACTCTCACATGCACACATACTCGCATGTGCACACACACTCACATGCACACACATGCGCACACATGAGCATACACTCACGTGAGCACACATACTCTCACATGCACACACACTTACATGCGGGCATACACGCACACACACACTTTTTTCCATGTTTCATAACTCTTGGGTTTTAGGCTTTTTTTGGTAAGAGCTTCCTCGTTAGTACTCAGGTATTATCTGTGTTCTCATTAACTTGCCTAAAGCAGAAGGGTGTCACCTACTGTGATGTGGGAACATTTTACAGTTCGTGCAAAAAGAAGTGTACTTCTAATATAGTTGAAAGTCCGAATTATCTTTAAAATGTTATCTTACAGTTGGGGCAGGCTTAGCATACCTTTGGAAGTCAATGTCAGAAGTAATTAATTTACTCTGACTGATGGAAATGTGCTTGCATGCTTTACTGAGTTTAACTGACCGAAGTATTAATACCTTTTTCTTGAAGGAATTGTGCTAATTTATTTATTCCTTTTTAGGTTTTGTATGAACAATTCAAGTTTTTCTTGAATCTCTATTTTCTGGTCGTGTCCTGTTCACAGTTTGTACCAGCTCTGAAGATTGGCTACCTCTACACCTACTGGGCTCCTCTGGTAAAATACTTCTATAGCTATGCTGTTACTTAATATTTAGCATATAATTTTCATAGTTGAGATGGGTTTGGCCCACTTCTTTGTATCTAGCACTACTACAGACAGCATTGATCCTAAGAACAAAGCTAGCCAAAGTCCTGTCCTAATGGAACTTGAATTGTCAGGAAGAAGATAGTCTAAAAGCAGATACTGGTCTAGGTCAGAGAATAAGTGTATAAACTTGCAATTAATAGTGAAAATGTAAAACCCTAAGCAAAACTTCATAGTTTTAGAATGGTCATTCTAATTATATTTCACTGAGAGGTAGCATTTGGGACTGGGCAAATGTTTGAATGACTACCTTAATCTGATGGTTTTTTTTTTTTTTTTGTGAGTTTGTTATAATAAAGTGATTTTTAATAACAAAAATATTGAGCCTATCTTATAATTCTGAAATAAATTCTATATGGTTAAATTTTAAAAAGCTGTTTTTTCTTTGGTGAGTTTATAATTAAAGAGCCAACAGCATACCAGAAGTCTGTTTCTTAGATTTGAAGATGAACAATGTGCTTACTAAATCTTCTAGAGGTCTGGTAAATCAGCACAAGCTTCATCAGTGGTTTTTCTTATCTCTCAGATACAAGCTTTGCTACTGTATAATCAAGGAACAGGAGAAAACTCCATAAAGATAGCTAATTCTCAGATCTAAATGTGACCACAAAATTCAAGTCTTAAAAGAAGTAAGACAAAAGGGTTCTGTAGGCAGAGTTTTCCTGTCCCAACCGCCTGCCCCAGGCAACCAGCAGCTGCTTCCCAAGTAACTGACTTGGGTGTGTAATGTAAGTTATAAACACTCAGCTCATAGCGCAGGCTTATTACTAGCTAACCCTTAACATTTAAATCAACCCATGTTTCTTCTCTGTGCTTGGTCACATGGCTCATGACTTGTTACCTCATTTTGTACATATCTTGCTTCCTTGGTGGCTGGCTGGCTGGCGTGTCCCCTGACCCAGTCCTCCTTCCTCCCAGCCTTCTGGATTTGGCTCGATTTGGCTGTCCCACCTACACTGATTGCCTGGCTACCAGCCAATCTGCGTTTTGTTAAACCAATTGGAGTGACACATCTTTACGATGTACAAAGGGAGTATTCCACAGTAGACTTTTCTTTCCCACCCCTTACATGCATGCATAATGAACTAGTTTCATGTTAAAAATACATATCTAAATACAATTAGTCTTACATGCCAAACAATTAAGCATTTTAAAAACAAACCTATACCTGAAGTCAAGCTAACAAACTTAAAATGAGACCAGAACTGGCAATGAGTACATACATGAAAACAAGGAAGTTGCCTTGGTGTATAGTATATTCTCTGCATGCATAAGCACATGTGCACACACACATATGCTCGTGGGTATACTCATGTACACACACACGCACACTCATTTCAACCCTGGGCAAATTACCAACTTCATGAAAAAACCAAAATTCTTCATGAAATATCCAAATAAAGGCATTTGCACCCTTTTCTCTAGAGAGACCATTGGGAGACGGGGAGGCTTATCTCTATGACTTGAAGCCACCCTCGTCTATGGAGGGCATTTCAGACCAGCCAAGAAAGGGTACATAGTGTAACCTTATCAATAAAAAATAGATTAAAATTCCTGGTGAAACCAGGGTTGATAATAATGACAAAGGGCAAAAGCAAAATATGGCTAAATATTACATTACTTCAGAGTTTAGGAATTTGTATTCTCAAACTGTCATTTTTTAACTTAAATTTCAATCCAAACTACAAATAATATTTAAATGATGAATATAAGAAACTAATAGAAAAAGAGGCAAGAAATAAACCCATTAAAATCATAAATATGGTTGTATTTAGTATTAGCAAAAACTTAATTCTTTTTAAAATTTTTCTTTAATGCTATATTGCCTTCATAAAAAAAAAAAAAAATATGGTGATACGGACCTTAATACTACCACTGGGAGACAGAGGCAGGCAGATAGGTCACTGTGAGGTTGAGACTTGCACAGTCTACAGGCTGAGTTACAGGCCACCCAGGGCTACATAGAGCAGCCCTCTCAAAAATAAAAAGTAAAACTTTAAAAATGAATTCTGAGAAAGAACGTAGCACACATGTTTTCCTAATGTACAAAAGGAATTATGAAGAAACAGATTATTAATTACAGCAATCTCTAATAGTTAAAAATTAGAAACAACCTATTAAGAGAGTGGATATGTAAGTTACAATGTAATCTTATTAAAAATATATAGAGAAAGATGAAATCTACGTTAAACCAGATCAACATGCTGCAATAGGGCACATACTAAGGTTACTTTCACACAGTGTTTTTAAAGAATGCAAGACAATAGTGTACACTATGTTAATGATATGTTCCCGAGTCCCAAAAGTTATTATGAAATGCAGAAACTTAAAATCTTACAATCAGTTCAATGACTACCTCTATGGATCTACAGTACAACTTCCAGGACGGCCAGGGCTATGCGGAGAAAGCTTGTCTAAAAACAAAACAAAACAAAAAAAAACAAACAAACAAAAAAAGAAAACAGTTTTCTATGGGTTGATAATAAAATGTAGTAAAATAAAACAAAAACGAATGTCCTGGTTTGGACAGAGCAAACAAACAAGGAAAAGAACCCAGGAGAAGGCTCAAGAAAAAGACACTCCTTCACACACCAGGGAATCATGTAAAAACACTAACCAGGAAGCCATAATATATATTGTATATATTACATATAATTATAATATATGTTATAATAATATATAAAAAGAAAATAACAATGAAAATAAAATAGATTTAAAAAAAACCCTAAAGACGCTGATACAGCATTGTGAGTTAGGTACCCTCCAAAGATGCCCCTGAGTTCATCTTCTTTTGGGAATCTACTGCTGGGCTTGCAGCCTAAGTGTAAGAGTAGTTTCCGCAGTGAGACCCCGTGGAGGAAACTACACTTTGATTTGCAAGGGTTCTCAGTTGGAGATAGCTCCTGGGTTAGGGCTGGCGGCGTGTGTCCACTTCTTTCAACCAGGACCCACCTGTGCAGACCCGTGCAGGGCCTGTGCATGCTGCCTCAGTCTGTGAGTTCACGTGTGCCTTGGTCCAGGTGATTCAGAGGGCCTGGTTTCATTTGGTGTCCCCTGGCTCTTCCACTCTTTCCTGACTCTTCTTTCTTGGTGACTTGGTGGAGACACACTGTTTAGGGCTGTGTGTGTCAAGGTCTCTCACTACGTGACGTCTGAGGCTGTGAGTCTGTGTTTGACGATGACTGAGGAAGGCACTGATTTACGAGTATGGCAGAATGCCATTACAAGTCATTTTATTGCTAGTTTCCTTTGCTTCTTTTCCTTCCTTCCCTCTATCCCCCCTCTTTTTTTTTTTCTTTTTCTTTTTCTTTTTAAGAACAGTACTATTTTGTCTTACCCTAGGTCTGTGGACTATCTAGTTTTAGGTTGGTTACTCAAGCAGTACCCAATGGGTTCCATTGGCTGGTTACTACACAAACTTTGTGCCGCCATTGCCCTGGCATACCAGGGTCTGTGGCTGAGTCGGTATTCATATTCCTCTTTGGGTACCATTCTTGCACCAAAGACACTAGCACTGTGTGGGCCCTGGCTCAGCCTCTCCGTGTTGATCGGTTGTGTTGACCTTGTCTTCAGCAGTGGGGACTTTCCATCAGTTTGTGAAAAGCAGCCAGTAGTTTTGGCAACAGCCTGGGTTATTTGTGGGGGTTAGAGTTATACCAAGATATTTTATATTACTTGAAGCTATTGTGAAAGGTGGTGTTTCTTTAATTTTTTTTTTTTACTGTCCATTTGTCAGTCATATTTAGGAAGGCTACTGATTTCTATGAGTTAATTTTGTATCTTGCTAAGTTTGCTGAGAGTGCTTACCTGATGAAGGCATTTCTGAGTAGAATTTTTTTGGGTCAGTTGTGTACATTTTCCTATCATGTGCAAATACAGATGCTTTGACTTCTTCCTTCCTAATTTGTATCCCTTGGTCTTTGTCAGTTATCTTACTGCTCTAGCTAAGATGTCAAGCACTATGTTTATTGAATAGATGTGGAGAGAGTGGACACCATGCTTTGTTCCTGATTATACTGGAAGTGCTTTGAGTTTCTGTCCATTTAACTTGATGTTGGCTATGGGCTTGCTATAACCTGCCTTTGTTATGTTTAGGTATGTCCCTTGTATCCCTAATCTCTCCAAGACCTTTATCATGAAGGGGTGTTGGATTTTGTCAAAGGCCTTTTCTGCATCTGATGATATGATCATGTGGTTTTTGTTTTTAGTTTATTTATACGGTTGATTACATTTTTCATTTTACATGTGTTGAACCATCCCTGTATCTCTGGGATGAAGCCTAGTTGATCATGGTGGATGATCTTTTTGGCGTGTTCTTGGATTTGGTTTATAATTATTTTATGGAGAATTTTTGCATCCATTTCATTAGGGAAATTGGTCTGTAATTATCTTTCTTTGATTAGTCTTTATGTAGTTTGGTTATTGAGGGTAACTATGGCCCCCAAAACAAATTGGGCAATGTTCCATCTGTTTCTATTTTGTGAAATAATTTGAGGAGTATTAGCATTAACTCTTCTTTGAAATTCTGGTATAATTCTGTGCTAAAACCATCTGCCCAGGGCTTTTTTTTTTTTTTTTTTTTTTTTTTTTTTATGACTACTTCTATTTGCTCAGGGGTTATAGGTCTGTTGAATTTGCTTATCTGATCTTGATTTAACTTTGGTAAGTGATGTGTATCAAGAAAATTATCCACTTCTACATTTTCCAGTTTGATGGATTATAGGTTTTTAAAGTGTGTCTTTATGATTCTCTGGATTTCCTTAGTATCTGTTATTATGGCCTTCTTTCATTTCTAATTTTATAAATTTGGATATTTTCTCTGCCTTTTTGTTAATTTGGATAAGGATTTGGCAATCTTACTGGTTTTCTCAAAGAACAAACTATTAGTTTGATTCTTTGTATTTTCTGTTTGTTGGTTTCTATGTTGTGGATTTCATTCCTAAGTTGACTACTTCTTGCCATCTTCTCTTTGGGGCCTGCTGTAGCAGGATGTGGGGAGGAGGGCTGGAGACGATTCCTGGGGTGTGCTGCAGATGGAGGCAGAGGTGGTCTGCTGCAGAGCTGGGGGGGAGGGGAGAGGTGAGGATGTGTGGCCAGCCTGCCTCTTCCCTGGCTGGACTCTGCTATTTTCCTGATGGCATCTGCTCTGACTGGGGTCAGGTGGGATTTTAGTGTACTTTTAATTTGCATTTCTCTGATTGCCAGTGAGGCTAAACATTTCTCCATATGCTGTTGTTTCTTGGCCATTTGTGTTTTCATCTTTTGAGAACTGTTTTTAATTTTGCTAGCCAGTTTATCATTTGGGTTGTTTGACTTCTTGATGCTTTTTCCTGTTGTTGTTGTTTGTATATTCTGAAGTTACCACACTGTTTCTTCCATCCAAAATAGTTTTGTTTTCCCAAGCAGGTAGTCAGTGTAGATGAGAAATCACATTCAAAGTGTTATTTTTCCTTTTAAATCTATATTCAATGTGTGGGTGTTTAGATCTGGAGTCACAGGGTGCTGTATGCCACCAGCTGGTTGCTGGGATTGAACCTTGTTCCTGGAAGATCAGTGTTCTGAACTGTCGAGTCTCCTCTCCAGCCTCTAATTTTTCTCTTTAGCTTATATTTTTTATGAAATTTAATTCATTAAGCATTCCATTCACTTGGTTCTTTTCCAACTTTTATTAGAAAGTTTAAATTCATACAGTCAGAACTAACAAAAGATGAAAGGTACCAAGATTAAAGTAAAATTGTTAAAATACAGAATTTTTGAAAAGCAGAGTATTGCAACATCTTCAATAGAATTACTACTCAGGCAGAAATATATGTGGAAGTAAATTTCAGTAATTCCTAAGAGAACATAATCAAGAGTTTATAATTTTTCATAAGTGATTAGATGCTAATAGAATCAATCATGACTTTTTAGCTCTTAAATATAGCATAGATAACCTTTACTGTGATTTAATTGCAGGGTAATTCTCTGCTGAAAGTGATTTTTCTCCCCTGTCACAGGCCCCTCTTTTACTTCCCTGGCATTTCCCCTCCCTCACTCCCACACAGACACTCCTGCATAAAGCCAACAGCTCAGCTACACACGGGAGAGAGCACGCGCCTTCGTTCTTTCTGAGCCTACGTTGTCTCACTTTACGTAATATTTCCCACATCTACGGATTTTCCTGGATGTTGAATAATTTTATTTTTCTCTATGGCTGAATAAAACCCATTGTGCTTATGTTTGCCATATTTCCATTGTCCATCTGTTGGTGGTCATCTAGGCCGAATTTGTTTCCCTGCTATTTTGAATAGAGCAGTGGTAACGTATGTGGAGGTGTTTCTATTGTAAGGCGCAGAGCCTTTGGAAGGAGCCTAGGAGTTGTGTACACGGCTTTACGGAAGTTCTGTTTCTAGCTTATGAGAAGCCTCCACAGATTTCCATAGCGGTTTTAGTTTACATCCCTACCGGCAGTGAGTAAAGTGTTCTTGGTCTCCAGCATTTGCCTTCCCCTCCCCCACTGGGTAGTGTGCCTCTCTACTGTCCCCTGCACAGAAGCCTCTTAACTTCACCAGGTCCCATTTCCTGCTGCTGGAGTACTAAAGTGCTTCCTGAGCCCACACCCTACTTTTCTCTAGCATTTTCAGTTTCAGGTTGAATGTTAAGGGCTTTGGTCCATGTAAAGTTGACTTTTGGCAGAATGAGAGATACAGGTCTAGTTTCGTTCTTCTACATGTGGGTATCCAGTTTTCCTAGCACCAGTTGTTAAGAGAGGCTGCTTTTCCCAGTGAGCCTTCTATGTGTTTTTGTAGTGTTTTTATTTTCATTCATTTTGTGTTTTAGGGAGTAATATAAATTGAAGGGGGAAAAGCACAACTAAATAATAAAGAATTTTCCTCTGCTTTGGTGTTCTGCTTTCTAAAATACTTTTTGTTTTATAGGGCTTTGTCCTGGCTGTTACTATTGCACGAGAAGCGATTGATGAATTTCGACGTTTTCAGCGAGACAAGGAAATGAACTCACAGTTATATAGCAAACTCACAGTAAGAGGTGAGCTGGGGGCTGCTGACCCTCCTACATGCGCTTAGTATGACCATATCAGAGTTAGCACAGGAGGGGGGCATGCTGTCTGTTCTTGAGATCTCATATGACTGCTTTATGTGCTCCAATTTCCTTACGGTATATAATGCTGGAATTTCAGGTAGAGTTTTATTCATTTTCTTGTGTGTGTGTGTGTGTTTGTGTGTGTGTGTGTTGTGCATGTGTGCATATATATTATTTATACATAAACACATGTATGCATACACTCACACAAACGATGTGCTCTGTTAGGATGCTTTATCCGATCTGAAGGAAACCCAGCTGCTATGCGCACATGCTGTGTGTGATGTACAGTAGCACCTTAAAGACGTCTCCTTTTTAAGCACATCCATAGAGGTCAGTGTTCAGAGCATGGCATTCAGTATCTCAAATAAGTGTCGTCATCAGTGTGGGCATGGGTGCGTACACACAGTGCTCCTCACCCCACATTCAGGCCTTTACAAATACTTAGCGCTCATTTCCCTTGTTTTCCAGGCTGTAGTTGAAAAAGGAGCAGTTTGTCGGGAAGAGAGTGGAGCGCCCTGTCAGAAGCAGGGTTTGTGACAGTAGAAAGGAGATGTGACACACTAAAACTGAGTAAAAGAGAGTTATAACCCTGGAGTTCTGTTGAAAAGTAAAATCAGAGTGGATATTATATGTTCTGTCTGTATGTGGGCATATATAATGAATAACTTATCTCAGGTAATCCCCCTAAGCCTTCTGCTTTTAATACTTTAATGAAATATATATATATGTCACTTAAGATTAATTGATTTAAGATTTACTGATAAGTGTTTGCTCTATTCATCAAGTTGTAAAGTCATCACCATATCTAATTTTAGAACATTTTTAGCATCCCCCCCCAGAAAAACCCCAAAATTCACTGGATCACTTCATTTTTTCCTCCTTTTCTTCCACTGAAGTCCTAGGTGACCTCTGCTCTACTTTTCTGTCTCTGGTTTTACCTACGCTGGACATTTGTATGTGTGGAATCGGCCGCGTGGACATTTGTATGTGTGGGATCGGCCGGGTGGACATTTGTATGTGTGGGATTGGCCGGGTGGACATTTGTATGTGAGGTCTTCTGTCACGGGCTTCTTTCCTTTGGCATATTTTCAGGGCTTCTACATGTTGTATCATGAAGTAGTGTTGACAAGTAACATCCCACAGCATGGCATACCACACTTTATCAAGTCAACACTGGGCAATTGAGGGCTTTGTATTCTGTGACTTATGAATAACCAACACTCCTGTGAACACTGTTTACCAGATTTTCATAAATCATTTCCCTTGGTTGTGTCTCAGCACGAAGATTGCTAGACTAGGTGATGACTCTGTTGAGCATTTGGGAAGAACCCCACGCTGTTTTCTAATTGGCTGCATCACTGGCCTTCTTGCCAGCAATGTACGGGCTCTGATTTTGCCATGTCTTCCCCAGTACTTGTTACTTCTACCATGTTTATTGTAGCAGTATGGCTTTTATTTGTATTTGCTAGTTATTGAGATTGAGTGCTTTTGTGTGTTTATTGGCCATTTGTCCTTCAACTGCTTTTTAACTGAGCTGTTGGTCTCTCTGTTGCTGAGTTATAAGCATTCCTTAGCTATCTTGGGTAAGCAGATAGTCTCTCCCATTTTGTGGGCCTGTATTTTCACTTTCTTGATGCATAACCATTTTGTTTGATCTTGTTTGTGCTTTTGACGTTGTAGCAAAGAAATAATTGGCTGACACTGTGATGATTTTTCTTAGAGTAGCTGTAGACTTAGCTCTACATTTAAGTCTGATCCATTTTCATGTACAGTGTGTTATATGGGTTCACATTCGTTTGCATAAATATGAAGTTGTCTGGTACCATATGCTAAATGACTACTGACTGTCTCCTGTATTTTTAAAACAGATGGAATGGGTTGGGGAGATGGCTCAGTCAGTAATGTGCTCACTATCCAAACATGAGGGCCTGAGTTAGGATCCTCAGCACCCACGTCCAAAGCTGGGTACCATGGAGAACACAAGGCAGTCCTTAGAGAGGATGTATGTTTGGGAAACAAGAGAGGCAGATTCCCGAGCTCACTGATACAGCTAGTCTGTGGCCAGTGAGCTCCAGGCATCAGCACAGTCCAGCCGTATCAGTCAGCTCCAAGTTTCGTGAGAGACCCTGCCCCGAAAGTTAAGGTGGAGATCCACTGAGGAAGACGCCCACCATTTACCCTGGCCTCCACCTGTGTGTGCGAGTACTAGAAAAGAAAGCTGTAGGAGAGAGGGCCCTCACACGGCCAGGTAAACTAGGTCTGACTTTATACTGTTTGGAGAACAGTTTTTAGATTCTAGCTTATTGTGAAATTAGTTTTACTTTGGTGTTTATAGTTAAGCAGAGTGTGTTGGTGATTGGAGTGGTGATGTCAGGAAAAATTAGTAAGTGTAGTATGATGTCACCACATAGAGCAGGCAGCTCCATTTGCCTGTCCTTCCGCAGAAACCTCAGGAACCAACTTGGTGGCAACTTTGGAAAGCAGCATGTTTTTTATAGCACCCATAAGATTGCTGACTCCAGATAAAGGCACTGAAGAAAGTGTTGGGAGATTTTTGGTTCTGTTTATGGTTCCTGTGGCTCCAGAACCTCTCCAAATCTGGAAGATGCAGTTGACAGCCTTGTGGAAGAACGGAACTCATTTTGAGGGGTGACTCAAAGCAAGAATCCTTTGTTCATTCTTCTTGGAACACAGGGCAGAAGACCAGAAAAGTAACAAGAATTTCTCATATAGATGTCAAAATTAAGAATAGTCCAAAGTAGCCTGGGACAAAGAATTACTTTAGTGTAGTCAAGTGACAGGCTGCAGACTAAAGGAGGGAAAAATCTTTATGTTATTTGGGTATTAAAAATACCCATTTATACTGGAGAGTTTTGAGTCCGGTGTATAGGCTGAGAGACAGGGAAATGGTCAGAAAAGGCCCGAGAAGTTCTTTGGCCTTTGCTTGACTGTGCTCAGTGCAGGTAGGAAGCGGTGGTGAAGGCAAGAGTTGTGAATGGCCTCATTTGATGTCCTGTCCATATTCAAAGGGGTTTCGCAGCATCGGTTGATGAATGTAAGCTGATGAAGAAGTATAAGAGGACACAGCTGGCAAAGAATACGTGCTTTATAAACCCACTCAACAGACACACTTGCAGCATCAACAAAACAACCGAACTAACTTAGAATGGGGAGGACCATCTGAAACATCGCATTCCCACATTCCTGGTTTCCACTTTCCCACAAAGATTGAGAAGCTGGCAAAGAAACATTCACAAGAGAACTTTGCAGACTCTTTCTGAGTAAGGGCAGATGTTGCACTACAAGACATGAAGTTTAAACCAACTGTCTTACCCCCCAATCAAAAGGCAAGGAAGTGAAGGGAGAAATAGCAGAAAGATGTCAAAAGAATGATATGTGAATATGTAGAGAATGACTGTAAAGATAAAGAATTCTGGAGCTGAGAAATGGCTAACTGATGAAAGAAACTTACCAGAAGGTTTAGGAGCAGATTTGAGTGGCCTGGAACGTCAGTGACCTTGACTCTGTCAGTTGCAACCATCAGGCTGAGGGGCATAAATGAAACACAGAGGAGCAGCTCGTGAGAGGCCTTGCAACAGCACGGTGTACTGACATGTCCACCTTAGAAATCCTCAGAGAGCAGGCTGGGAAATGTCAGCAGGGAAGAGAAATGGCCAGGTCAAAGACTTGAACCTGGGCCTTCAAGATCCAGCTACGCCAGCCAAGAAGGACAAAGAGGAAGAGGTCTGCATGAGGCACAGTCAGCCTGTTGAGACTTGATGACCCAGAGGAAAGCCTCAAAGCAAAGCAGATAGGGTGTACTCAGATCACAGGAAAGAATTAAAACATTCTTAGATAAAATTCCCTGATAACCTTTACATTTTTTGTACTTATGTATGTATGTGTATATGTGTGTGTATGTATATATGTATATATGTGTGTATGTATGTATGTGTGTATGTATGTATGTGTTTATTTATTGTCTTTTTACTTTCTCTTCTTGGTTTTTGTTTGTTTTGTTTTGTTTTTCGAGACAGGATTTCTCTGTGTAGACCTGGCAATCCTGGAAGATCGCTCTGTAGACCAGGCTGACCTGGAACTCACTGACCAGACTGTTCTGGAACTCACAGAGATCTGCCTGCCTCTGCCTCTAGTGCTGGGTTTAAAGGTGTGCTCTAGCACTGACAGGCATCTTTGCTTTCTAACAAGAGACAGAAAGGGAGTAGATTTGGATGGGAGGGGTAGTGAGTAGGATCTTGGAGGAGTTGGTGTAGGGAAATCCATATCATTTTATGAAAAAAATCTATTTTCAATATGAGAGGGAGGGAGAGAGAGAGAAAGAAGAGATATATCTCAAGCAGCCTAATGGAAAGATACCATTAAACTAAAAGAACTCGAAAGTACAGGTTTACAAATGACCATATTAAAGCAGAAGTGATCAAGTATTTTAAAGTTCCACAGTAAATCACATACACTGTTGGTATTGTTTACGTATGCTGGCAGATCCTTGGACACGTGAGGACTTTAAAACATTTATGTAAGAAATAAAAAATGGCTATGAAACATTGTATTGAGAGTAAATTTCAAACTCTGTGCTATTTTATACAGAATGAGGTAGTCTATCCTTTTTAAATACCTTCACAATAATCACTACTTAATAATGATTTAATTTATGTAATACATTATTTTGTGACTGAGTACATTTTCCTAATACCTTATCAGACAGCTTGAAATATATGAGAATAATCCAATATATTACTTAGCCAAATAATAGAAAGTCAGAAAACATTGGCCAGGTTACTTTCTTTTATTTTAAAATTTCCAGTGTGTCATGTGGATTCAGGAAAAAAGTAGATTATCTATAGTTCAAAAACCTCCACACTTATTTAGCAGTTTACTATTTATGTTTTATTATTATAAAATTTCAAAATATAAAATCAACTGCCTTTGAAAACTATGATGCTAACTTTTTGATGGAGAAAGCAAAATCTCATTGTTCATACTAAATAGGAATTAGCCTCTGGAATTCTAAAAGATTTTCTCTTCTTAGCGATGCAGAGCTGTATATTACATCATTTAACTACAGGATTTTATTTTCTCTCTTTTTAAGTGTGTGTATTATTTAAAATGTAAAAAGGCGAAAGGAAGGCAAAGTGAATTGGCTGGCCAGGAGAGAAAGTGAACTGAAAGACAGCATAGGGAAAGTGGCTGAAGGCACCATGGCAACCCTTACAACCCTTACTATTTCACACTTAGCGGTGAGAGCCACAGTGGCTGGGGGACTGGAGTGACCATGTTTGCATTGGTGAAAGGACCGACACTTGTCTAAGTGTTTTTTGCCAATGTTTAGACTTACACTCATGGACTGGGAAGCTATGGTGAGGTTTGTTTTATGTGTAATTCTAAAGAACGTCGCTGTCTGGTGAATAAAAAGTAGTAGTAGCCTTTCTTGGTTTGCTTCATTGAAGAACACAGAAAAATGTAATAGTTAAGATGTCCCATGTACTAAACAAAACAACGCCAGAAATTGTGTTCAGACTTAGCTTCATTAGGAGGTGTTTTGGAAATAAGACTTAATGAGAAGTTGATAGGAGTAGAATTCAGTGATAAATCTGGTTATGTTAATTTTTGGTAAAGCTCCAACTCTGCTGCGGTCAGAATAAAATGAGTGTGAAAGTTGCAAACAAATCTATTGGTGTGATAGAGCTGTGGCTATGAAAGCAGATCCAGAGGGCGTTTGGCTGAGACAGGAGGAGGGAATGATTGGCCTGAGTTTTCAGATAATGTGCTTATCATATTGTATGTAATATTTTGTAGATACTTAAGTATAATACATGCTCATCTCTATTAGTAGCTATTCCAAATCAGATACACAGATAAGAATTTGCTCTAATATGTACATAGAAAAATTATCCATAAGTGGATAATTTCAGTTCTGTGCTATATTGACAGATACTAGTGGCTACGATTGTATGTAACATTTGCTTTACTTTCTCTGTGTGTCTTGTGCCAGTCAACATAATTTGTGGTATTAAGGGTTTGTACATCTCCATAATAATCGGTTTCAGTCACCAAATTATTTTTTTTAGCATTGTTGGTGACCATTGCTAACTCCATTGAGAATTGAAACATTAGCAGAATGTGTGAAGGATCTCCCACATGTGATCCTTACCAGTCACCAAGAGGAAGCCCTTCCTCTTACTAGGGTACATTACCTGTTACTAGGGTACGTACTTACTTGTGTTCAGTAGTTCAGGAACAAGATTGATTGTGTGTGACTGTATATCTGAAATGTAACTTGAATATGAAGAGAGATACATTTCTGGTTTTAATTTCTTTAATTTTGGTTTGTTTTTGGCCCTAGAACTATGTTAAAGTGTTACTTATCAAAATTTACTTTCTGGTGTTCTTTGTTTTCCTGAGTTGATTGTAATTTTTCTTTCTTTTAAGGTAAAGTGCAAGTTAAGAGTTCAGACATACAAGTTGGAGACCTCATCATAGTGGAAAAGGTTGCTGCATTTTTAATACATTTTAGATCTGTATGTACATCGGTCATTAACTTAAGCTTAATTGCAAGTAACTTCTATTTCAAAGGCACTGTTGAGATAGATATTTTAATTCTTAATGTGTGTTTGTAAGATTTGATATATTTTTACTAAATTTAAATATTTACATTTTCTGTCTATTTTGCTAAGGTGTATTTCATTGTCTTTAGGTAAAGCCTTTTTTTTTTTTTAATGTAAAACTTGTGTTAATTGTTTAATGTATCTCATTTGACCTCAGAATTATGTTTAAAATGTTAATAATTCTAAATCAGAACTTTGTCTAGATGGCTATATTAAACATAATTATTGGCTCTTATTCTTATGCTTTAAAATTTTAAAGAGAGAAAGCGAATGAAAGCTAAAGAGCACTAGAAAAATAGTTTAGGCCATGATGAGAGGAAGACACGTTCTAAAACAAAGCAAGTCAGGCCTGGAGAGAGTGCATGGGTGGCAGTGTGCAGGTTAGGCTTTCTCCTGGAGTGCTGTCCCTGTCTTCTCTGTGACATGGAAAGGCCTGTACACTGTGTGCATCTTTCTGTCAGGTCTTTCTTCCTGGTGTGTAGTCTCTGCCTTGTTCTGTGATGTGTGAGTTCTGTGCACACCACCTGGGTATGTGATATTAGTGCTGTGAATGTACCTTCTCTGGAAATCCTGACTCTGCCATCTATATTTTTGGGAACTTTCATGTTGGCTTTTAAAATTCTCTAGGGCAGATTCCCATTTGCCTTCCTCCAGAGCTGTCTGCGGTCTATGGCACTGGGCTGGCATCTTGGGCAGGCGGTACTTCTTCCCCATAGAAATGAACTTCCTGTACTTTATCTGTATACAGGTAACATGGTTTGATTTTACAAAATAGAGCCGTGCTTAGCATGCACAGGGTACTAAAACAAACATCTGTAGTATTTCATTGTATAGATTCTAGAAATTACTAGCCTATATCCATTTAGCTTTTGGAAAATTTCTACGTTATGTATGTATTTTTACTTATGCTGTCACAGTGTTGCAGCATGTAATCATCCTGGTATCTTGGCACACAGCTGTAGGGTAGATTCTGACACGCTTCGAGACTGTAAGCATACAGACTCCGTTAAGTGTTCCCTTCCTGTCATAGGCTAGATGTCTGCTGTGCTGACTAATACAGCTGATGGTGCTGGGTAGTGAACCAAGGGCCTCCTCTATGCCAAGAACCTTTTAGCCAAAAATGTTAGTGACTGCATAAAGTGTAGGCCTTGTAGGGAATTTTAAGCTGTTATTTGTTACGAGTACTTTTTCCTGCAGCCTGGAGCCATTGCCCAGTATGAGAAACATATTTACAGAATGACATCTCCCATCAGTTATTAGTAGAGTTGATATTTTTGAAGACAAATTATTTATAATATTTTTATGCCACACTTGAAATAAGGAAAAGCTTCATGCCTTTTGTTAAGTATTATACTTGGGACTGGGGATGTGTCACTTACATACAAGGCTTTGCTTAGCTTGACTCCTAGCACATGCATACAAACAACAACAACAGAACAACAGAAAGAGCAATTAAAAACAAAACAAAACAAAACAGTTTTAAGGCTTGGTCCATATAACAGTTTAAGTAAGGAGTGAAGTGAATTCACTTTACTGTTGATTTAAGTATTTTCCATATACTAATGGCCCAACAGTACATTTGCAATAGTGAATGTTTGAGAGCTGCTCATGAAATCTACTTCTTTACATGTAAGCTTTTAGGATGAAGTCATTAGCTTGGTGCTAGGGACCTTGTGCATGCTGGGCCTGGCTCTGCCGCTGGGCGCCCTTGTACTGGCCCTGTCCCTGGTGGTCTGGGCTGCTTGTATGATGGTATGGACAGCATGGCCACCCTTGAGACCGGTCCTCCAGCACATGAACTCAGACGCCTGATGGGCTTGCGGGGAGAACTACACGTTCTAACATTTCTAAGTTAGGCCCCGATGTTAAAGGGGTAACTTTTTAAAGAAGCCATTTGTAGGAGTTTACTGATTTTCTTTTTTCTAATCCCCGCCCCCAGGAAGTAATCCTTTCTTTAAAAAGTAAGCATTACATGATAGCAATTGTATAAACATGTGTAGAATATTGTAGCCTTTTGGATTATTATAGAGCTTCATATAAATGAGATAAAAACTCCTAAATTATTAGTGTAAACAACAAAAATGAAAAACAGAAAGCCATAGTTTTCTGCTGTCTCTACACATGTTCATCTCTTATACAGAGCTAGAGGCCTTCAGAGTCATACGCACGTATGTGACACACATGATGAGCCATCCCTGGCAAGCCAGGCTCTAGGAAGGAGCCTTGAAACAGACTCAGAGCAGGCAGGACTTAAGAGTGAGACTCTTGCCAGTCTAGCCGGGAGAACTAGCTTAGCAAAGAGCAACGATTGCTTTTTCCAGAAGCAAGGAGGAAAGTCACTCTTTCTCTTATTTTCTAAGGTAATACAATTTAATGAGAGTACAGAGTGTGTCACAGTGCCATGGCAGAAGGCATACAGTAGAAGCACTGTGGGATGCTCTAAGGAAGCAAAGGTGGATCCCTGACCAAGGCTCGGATGACACCTGTGAAGGAGGAGTGAGAAACTGGTCAGCAGGGACACTCATGAAGTGCTGACCTCTTTCCCTGGAAGGGACACTTATGAAGTGCTGACCTCTTTCCCTGGAAGGGACACTCATGAAGTGCTGACCTCTTTCCCTGGAAGTGCTGTAGACCCGGGCTGTGTAGACCCGGGCTGCGGGGAGGGGTCAGTAAGAAAGGGTGTGGTGGAGCCTCATGGCATTGACAAAAAGTCAGCTGCACTGATGGGAGCAGGGTGAAGCAAAATGTGTGGTTCATTAGGCGAGGTCTGTGGCGTTTGGGGCTGCTCTGTTGGTATCAAAGAAAACATCCAGTAGAATAATGCAAAGTAAAACTAGAACAACAGAGAAGTCGCATTAGTAATTTAGAACATTTGAAAAGGAAACATCCAGGCATAGATTCATTCCTTGGACCTTTAAAGAGGATTTGACATCAGTTTTATATAGTGACTGTCAGTTACCCTCACTTTATAAGGCCAGGATTATCATTGTACCATCACCACAGGGAAGACAGTTATAACAAAAAACTAGACAGGAAAATCTTGAGAAAACATTTACCAGTTGCTGTCAATAATATATAAAGTTCTAAGTCATATCCCAATAAAAAATGGTCACCAGAAGGATTTAAGTTTCCCTCTGTCATATCAGTTTTCCAGAAAAAAAAAAATCACACAACCATATTATTGGGTGCTAGAAAAGCATTTGACTAAGTCAGTACCCACTCTTGATGAGTGTAAGCCTGCAGGCTTGGTGATCAGGAGCCCCATCCAGGTAAGAAACAGAGCTGCTGGGTAAGTTAAGAATGGTAAAAACCCTGTAGAACATCATGTGTGACAGAGTTAGAAGGATGCCTCTTCTCTGAAAACAAGAGCATTGTTTTTACCACTCGTAACTTACCTAGCAGCTCTAGGATGCTAGGAAATGTAGGACTCTAAAAAGATCTACACAAGTTGTCTCAGTATATTCAGCAGGGTGGCAAGCCTTTAGGCCAGCACACAAAAGCTACATCCCCATTTCTGTAAGATAACAGACTGTGGAAACAAAAAATGTCCCTCCTGTGAAATTCAAGTGTTAAGTATGCTAAAATCTATAGTATAGTGATGAAAATAATCAAAGAAGACCTAAGGAAGTAGGTGTGTTCTCGGGGGATGACATTTCATATACCTTTGGTATTAAAAAAAAAAGGCCCTGTAAATTTGACACAGATCTTGTCAAAGACACAGGAAGCTTCCCTTCCTTCTTACATCCTCCCCTTCCCCCTTCTTCCTGCCCTGTCTCTTTTTTTCTCTTCTCCCCATCTTTTTCTCTCACTAATTAAAAAAAAAAAAAAAAAAAAAAAAAAAAAAGACACAGGTAGTCTTACTCCAAAGCCAGTTTATAAAGGCACAGTTTTGGTGACAGCTAAGGCAGTCTGGAAAAGGGAGGACAGAGTGGGAAGAATCTGGGTTCCTGTGCGGACGTCTGTTACAGAGCTCCCTTACCCAGCACAGTGAAAGTAGCAGAGATGACACAATGCAGTCGCTAATGGAACCTCAAGGAGAACCCAGAAATAGGCCACCCCATCTGCACCAGTCACTTCGGAAAAGGCACAAGAGCAATTAACAATAAAAAGGAAACTTTGAAAAGATTAAAGCATCCATAGGTTAAAAAGATGACCTTGGACTTAATAGAAATGTAAAACTTTTTGAGAACAAAAGCACAAGAGAAAATGTCTTGAACCTAGACATTTAAAACACAGATATTTTATAAACGTAGACCTTTAAAGTAAATCATAATTCATAGATTGTATATCAAAAGAATATCATACTACAAAAATCTGATAATTGCATCTTATTAAAATAAAAATAATTGTTTGGAAAGAACCATGATGAAACTATAGGCATCAATAATAATTGGAGAAGGATTGGAGGCAGTCATTGGAGGGGAAAGGAGTGTAGAAATGTAACGTATGTATATATGGTTCTCAGGTATGAAACCCTCAATAAAAATTAAAGTGAAGACTGTAGAAGGGTTAGCAGGATGGCTCAGCAGGTAAAGGCCATTGCTGACAAGCCTGGACACCTGAGTTTGATTCCTAGGGCCCACATTGTAGAAGATAATCTACTATAGCAAATTTAGAAGGTTAATAAGAGCATTAAAGAAGTAGAGAAAGCAGCTGTGAATCTGCATTGGTTGAAACTTTGGGGCACTATTGCAGGTTGCCCTCTATTGCAGGTTGCCCTGCTCATACCCCTCTACGCCCCTTGCAGGGGCGGGGACTGAGCGCCCACGCCTCCCCACTGCGGTCAGTGAGTGGTGGTGTGTACCAGGGTGTCTTCCAGTGATAGCCTGACCCCGACGCTTGTAGTCGGATGGGGACAAAGGCAGCAGAGGGGGTTGGTGACTCCTGAGCCGACCTCAGGCTTCGGGCAAGAAAAGCACAGGCATTGGGAGAAATTCAGGGGTCATCACCACAGCCTCATCCCAAAATTCCTCCAGAGAGGCAGTGTTAACCTTAAGGCCCCGGGTGGACAACACTGATTTTAATGCCCTCACCTGAGGCTGCTTAGAGGGTGAAGAAGTTCCCCATTCTCTTAATGGCAGGCAGGAGACCTAGACAAGAACAAAGTCTAAAACACACAAAGACAGACTCGAACAAATACAGCAAGCCTGTCAGACCTAAGTGTAGTAGATGTTCCTACCTGAAGCACCAGGGCTACCAGACAGACTCAAAGGAAAAGACAGAAAAGAAGGAGGGTCCCCCACGCTCACCCTCGTGAGGACCAAAGACAAGAAACACGCAGGGCAGGGGCCAACTCACCGAACAATCACACAATCACAGAAGAGGAGCTGCTGGAGTGAAGAGTAGCCCGAAAGGGTGCAGACAGGAAAAGGAAGTGTTCCCAGGTAGGATCCAACGCTGCACCACCAGCAACAAATCCAAAGGCGAGGGCATGGGATCCACAAGCCCCACCTTTAGGTCCAGGCATTGCAGGCTACCCAGCTTGGACACGCCTTGAGGGAGGGCGTGAGAAGACGCAGGTGCTGGGAGTCAGTGCAGAGAGAGCTTGCAGCAGGCTCCTTTAGTAAGGAAGTTAGGCCGCCTTTAAACCCCCTCCCAAGGCCCTCCTGGCTCAGGCGGCTGACTCTGCTACATGTCCTTTGCTCACTGGTATCTCTGGGGCAGGGGTCTCTGTCAGCAGTCTCTGGGCATTGAGGCAGGCTGGGTGACTTGTCTCAGGGAGGAAGTGCCTGCCAAGCGCATGCTCAGTTGGACTGGCCTGGGCACCAGGGCCAGGGCGACTACGGCTTGGGTAGGCTGGCCCTAGTATCTAATAAAGACTTGTTTGTGAAATTTGTAAAATCTAAATCCGAGCAGTAAAAGATTTTCTCCTTAGAAAATATGCAGAAGACCTAAGAAAACATTTACCAAGGAACTACAGATGAAAAATAGACATGAAAAAAATCTTTATTAGTAGTTATCAAGAATACATATAAATCAGAAGGGATGTTTTTAAAAAATGTTTTCACCATATATTGACCTTGCCAACAAGGATATGGTTTCCTTACATACCCCTTGAGAAGATCAGATGGTGTAGCTATTCTGGAAAATCACATGACAGTTTCTAAAGCAAAAAGTAAAACAAAATAAAAACAATCAAAAACCTAGAATAACTGTCTCATGATCCAACAGTTTGATTCCTATACCTTGGGGCTAGTACGATGGCTCAGCAGATAAAAGATGCTTGTTGCTAAGCTTGATAACTAGTGTTTGATCCCTGGGACCTACTTGGTGGAGGTCTGACTTCTACACGGGAACTGTGGCTCATGCACACACACTCACATAGATTCACACGTATAATAAATATAATTCCTGTATCTTACCACAAAGAAATAATGACTTTTGCTGACATAGTCCTCTACAGGAATGTTAATCTGCATTCAAGACAGGCAGAATCAGAAGCAGTTCAGGCACCTGAATGGGTGTCATGGATGTCTGGTCAGGGTTCTGTGTATGGGAGAAAATACAAGAGTTTGCCTTTGGAAAGTGACTAATCTGACATCCCATTCACAGTAGCATCCGCAGAACAAAAGGCTTAAAAGAGGTACAACACAAGAAGCTGCTGAACGTGTAACTTGGAAAGTTCTAAGTATGATTGAAACATGTTAAAGAAATATTAATTGGAAAACAGCATACTTGGATAGGTGGGTAGGTATGTTACTATTGTTGAGTTTGCAGTGCTTCTGAAGTTGACCTCTAGATCCATGCTACACCAACTTAAAATCCTTAGAAATCAACATTCTGCTGTCTACACTTTGTAGAATAGCCGAAACAATTTTGGGGGGAAATTTACACGTTGTGCACGTGTAAATTTACACATACTCACACTTCTCCATTTCAGATATAATACAAAGCTACAGTAGTCCATACAGTGAAGACGTAGTATTAGTGCAGTGATGAGACTCTTAGTGCGTGCGTGTGTGTGTGTGTGTGTGTGTGTGTGTGTGTGTGTGTGTGTGTGCGTGTGTGCGTGCGTGTGTGCGTGCGTGTGTGTGTGTGTGTGTGTGTGTGTGTGTGTGTGTGTGTGTGTGTGTGTTACCCAAGAAGAATGTTTGCTTTATTGGTCCCTGATAGGTTCAGAGGCCTGGGAATGTCCTTGAACAGGTGGCTGCCGAGCACTCTTCCCTCGATGGTTGATTAGGTTGCTTCTAATACTTCTGTGTCATTAGACATCGATTGTGCACACATGCACACCTGGGAGGAAAGGGGGTTTTAAGCATGAACATGTTTCCCCATGACTGTGGAAAGTGCTGTGTGTGGTGTACTCTGTGTTTGTACAATTGCCAACATTTTCAGTGTGCCTTTCTAATACACATGCTGTAGATGGAATTTTAACACGAGTTTCTCTGATGTCTAATGAATTGCTCACTTTTGTTATGGCCTGTATCTTTCTGTACTATTTGGGTAAGCCTCTGGGAAAATCTCTTGTGTCTTCTTCTAAGTGTCTCTTTCTCTGCTTGCAAGTTTCCAGGCCTTTGTCTTGAGGTCAGAGCCTCCTGATGTATATGCTGCAGGTGCCCTTTAGCTCCCTTCCTGGTGGGTACGCTGGAGTAGAATTCTCACTTTTAGGGAAATCCAATTTAGTAGTCTTTTAGACGTTTTCTTTTCAAACTAATTTAGTAGTAGTGGTTCTGGTGATGTAGTCACTCATTTGCCGTTTGACCCGCATCCACTGTCGGGGACTCTGTTGCCTTGCTTTGCGCATTTTAACCATGATTGAGGCAGTGTCTGTGTTCCTTCTCTGGGAAGGCCGGGTGCATCCCCACTCATCCCCCGCAAGTGTGGGCTTTCCTTAGGCCTATTTCTTGTAAGACTCATTTCCTGCTGCCCACAGAGCTAGTTTTCTCACGGACCTGGCGTTCCTCTGGGTCTGCCTTTTCTTGTTCTCCGTTGCCATAATCGGCAACTGTACTAGTTTAAAGCGCCCGGTCTCAGTCACTGTGGGTTAATGTTCTTTTCCTAGGTTACAGTTAACCCCTTGTGTGTCTTGCTCACTTCCTGCCCTTAGCATTTCCTCATGTACTTGAGGAAAATACTGCTGGCTCCTAAAGCTCTTAAACATTGTTTATTTCGGCTCCCCCTTTCCCTGCTGCGTCCCCTTCGGGTGGGTTACAGTGTGTCCATGTCGCATGTATTTTCCTCCTAATGGTTTGCTGGCTTTGGTTGTTTCTCTCATTTTCTTGTCAGATAATTATTACCTTTCATTTAGAAAATACTGTTGACTGTTCACTCTGATTTCTTCCCTGACCTGGGGTCTGTTTTAGCTCTTCCCAAGTCACCTTTTTTCTTAGTGTTAGAAAGGAACAGCTGTACCTCACAGCATGTATTTTCCAGCCTTACTCACTTCTTCATCTTTATTAATCAACTGGAGAGTAAGCCATTGCTTTGTGGCATATATGCAAATTTTCACTTCAGTCTCAAATATACATGTAAGATTATGTGAATTATCTTAATGGTATACTTTAGTTTTCTTTTTTCTTTCCTTTAACATTTCTAATTAATAGAATTATTAATAATAATTAAATGCATGAATGACTTATAAAATTTGAATATGGCAGTGTACCTTTAGTTACTTCCTATTCTGTCTAATAAAACAATAAATAGTTTGTGGGATTTTTCTGTATTTGCTTATCCTCAAGTTTGTTTGTTTACCCATGTTTATTATTTTATTGATGATGTGATTTTTGGTGTTGGACATGAAAATGGATAGCCACGGTCCATTTTCCAGGGCATTTTGGAGTGAGGAGTATGGAGTTCTTATGTGACAACACTACTGTGTGTTATGTATGGCTCAGGTGTGGAAATAATATTTAATCCTTTCTAAACAAAAAAGGTCTCAATGCCATATAGATGGCTGGCTTACTGTCGTTTAAAAAGCATGTTAATTAAGATATTATAAATAATAGCTATTTTAGTACAATTTTATTTTTAACATTTTAATTGTCTTTATTAACTATTTCTTCTTTGTAATAGTATTATTTTAATGTACATCTTCCAATAATAATGAGTATATTTCTTTTTTGCAGAACCAAAGAATTCCATCAGATATGGTATTTCTTAGAACTTCAGAGAAAGCAGGTAACTTTTAATGTTTTTTTTTTTTTTTTACATTGCTGCAGGTTTTTTGTTTTTTTGTTTTTTTGTTCGTTTGTGTTTGGACAGGGTATTACTGTTTATCTGTACCTGACCTGGAGAGCAAGCTGGCCTTGAACTCATAGAAGTCTTTTTGTCTCTGCCTTCCAGGTGCTAAGATTAAAGCCATAAACCACTGTACTTAGTTTGATTTCTTTGGTTTAAAAAGTAAAAACAAGTTTTCTGCCTATAAATCTTTTTATATTTTAAATTAATTTTCAAATGGCATTTACTTGTTGATATTTTAAAAATCTGACTTTGGTGTTTCATTTTAATTTTGAGAACCTAATTACTTCAATGACAGCATAACTCAAAATTTGATTGCTAGTTACAGTTTCAGTTTTACTTCACATTCTTATTTTCCTTTTTTTTTGGGGGGGTACATAGTAGTAATTGTGTTTACAGAAGAGAAGAGCATCTAGTTGTGGGTTCTTGCACTATAGTTATGGATACTTGCCATGACCAGTTCACGGTCTGTGTGTGTGGTAGCACACAGATTGCGGAAGTGTAATATCCCGTTAACTAGGCACTATCTCATAGTGGAAAGAACTGTGCATACTGGCATAGACATTTCAAGCCTAGGTGAGTGGCTGTGGGCTTCATGGGAAGAGCAGTATTTCTCATGTGACTAAGTAGAAAAGTCAGGGAATCTCTGTCAGTGTCTTCTTGGTCAGTTTCTAATGACTGACCTGGATGTGTGGGCACAGTTCCATTATTCCCTGGTTGAGGCCCGGGCTGAGGCAGCATATCAAAGGATGCCTATAGCCCCTTTCTGCCCTATACTTAGGGATTATACAACTCGCTGTCATTTTTTCCGTCTCTAGGTCCACCATGAATGCTATTTGTAAGTGTGAATACCCTTCAAAGGCCTGGTTGGGTTCAGAGTTCATTACTTATTTCCTCTGTGGGAAGCAGCACAGTTTAAAAGTCATACTTGAACTGTGTGGGCTTGTGCATGTGAGTGGCCAGAAGAGGGTGTCAGTCCATTGAAGCTGGAGTTAAAGGCAGCTGTGAGCCATCCCATGTGGGGGCCCGGACTGGAACTTACAGCCTCTCCAAGAACAAGATGGCTCTTAACTCTTGAGCCATCTGTCCAGCCCAAAGCAGTGTTCTTTAGACAAAGCGTGAGTCATGCTAAAGAGAAACCTGCCTGTAGCACTGCCCCGGGCTGTGGTTGCTCACCTTGTGGATGAGCTCCCGGCAAGGGGAAAGCTCGCTGCCCATGGTAGTCAAAGGGAGGTGATAGGTATCTTGTGTTACTTAATAGAGTGAGTTTTTATTTTCCCGACTGCTGTGGATCCTGGCCAGGTGCTCCTCAGATCATTAAGCACCAAGATTACAAGTTTGTTCCTCTATTGTGGCTCAAGACCCCTTCACTGTTATCTAACCCAGTTACTTACTACTACAAGTTGTATTACTGATTTTTATCAGGAGACATTTTCTTTCTAGAATGTTTCTGTTTTGAGAACACTGTTTAGCAATATTAGGACAATGTGCTCATTTGCAAAGCATTTCTGTCTATCAAGTGTGCTGTGGCCTTCTGTTGTAGCAGTCTCTCAGTAGGCTTCAGTCATGACTTGGCCCCTTTGGAGTAGCAGTGTTTCACAGTTCATACTGCCCAGCACTGTGGGAGACCATGAGGCCCATCTCCCTGAGAGGCTGACTTAGCTATGGGCATGTGCAGGAACGCAGACCTCTTGGTTATCGTCTGTAGCCCCTTCGTCTAGCTAGTTTTGCCTTCTAGTGTTTTCGTAAGGATTTTTGCCTCTTTAGTCATAAAGGATATACTTGCAATTATGGAGTGTGTTTGTGGGTTTTTTCTGTGATGCCTTTATTATCAGAATAGCACTGGCCTTAGTGTACATTGGGGGTATTCTGATCCATCTACATTTTGGAAGAATCTGTGAAGAATTTTTATTCTTTAAATGCTTCGTATAATTCACCCATGAAATGATGTGGGTCTGGCATTTGAGGGTCTTTGTTTTATTTTTTAATTTCTAATTACTTGTTAAAGGCCTACTTGCATTGTCTTTTTCTTCTTGAATCAGTTTTATAGTTTGTGTTGTTTTTCCAATTAGTCTCCTTTAGGTTTTCTAATTCATAGGCATGCTACAATTATTCCCTCATGATCTTCTAAAAACAGTTTCTATAACAATAGTAGTGATGGTCTCTCCTTTGTTCTTGGTTTTAATAATTTGAGTCTTCCTTTTGCTTTGTTACTCTGGCTAAAAGGTTGTCAATGTTATTGATCTGTTGGGAGAACTAACTTTGGATTTCAATGACTTTTTTTTTTTTTTTTTTTTTTTTTTTTAAGTTCTTATTTAATTTAATGGCACCTATCATTTTCTTCCTTTTGTTTGTTTGTTTTGGTTGAGGTTGATCCTGTGTCTGTAGCTTCTTAAGGGTAGAAAATTAGACTGTGGATTTTGGATCTTTTTTGACGTGGGTGTTTGCAATTATGAATTTCCACCTGCACTTTTTCTCATCACCCTCATAAGGTTCACACTGTTGTTCATTTCCATACTTCTTAATGTATTCCCTCACCCCTGTCTTTTCATCATTGATCCATTGTTTTGTGACTGATATGTTGTTTAGTTTCCACATTTGTGAATTTCCCAGATTTGCTTCTGCCGTGATTTCCAGGTCATTCTGCTATGGTCTCCTTCTGACTCACCCAAATTTGGATTACGCTCGTGTGTGTCTGTGTCTGTGAGTGTGCACTATGTGCTGTGCACACCAAGGAGTCTGCTCTGCTTGTGTGGTGTGTTAGCTCTAGGCATTGTGCATAGTCTTCTGTCTAATTACCACATCTATAGTTGACGGTGGACTGGTATAGTTGCAACTGTCTTTGCAAGATTGACAGCAAGTGTTTACCGCCCTATGGAATGACTGTCACCACCCCACGTGCTCTCTGCTCCTCTGTCCATTCTTTGCCTGCTTACGTGGCCCCCTAGTGCGTCTGCATCCCTGTGCATTCACTCTAGTGCAGCACTGCAGAGGAGATAACAGCTGCTGTTCTGTGACCCTCTCTCCCTGCCTGGCCGGGTCTCACCTCAAGAGCAGCTTTGCCAGGTGCTTTCCGTGGCTGCTACCCTAACCACCCATCAGTCAGTCTCGGGCAGACCCCTCCCTGAGCGTCACCGAGTGCGTAGACTGTCCACCCGTGCCTTCCGCTTGCCGAAGCCCATGCCTGAACCCGGGGAGCTCTGTCACAGCATCCCCAGAGGAGCTGCTTCCTCATGCGCCGCGCCCCGCCCTGCCCCGCCCCAGCCTCGCCTGTGAGCCCATGTCATTAGTTCTTGGGCGGCGTCTTAGCTACTTTCTGTTGCTGTGAAAGAGCACCATGGCCACAGCCACTTTGAGAAGAGGAGTGTGTGTGGGTTTGCAGTTCTTGAGAGCCAATGGTTTGTCATGGTTGGGGGCATGGCTGCAAACACAGGGCATGGTGGCTGTCGCTGAAACTGAGGGCTCTTACCTTGAACAGAACCAGGAAGCAAAGTCTGTGTGTGTGTGTGTGTGTGTGTGTGTGTGTGTCAGGGGTGAGGCAAGGGGCTTTGAAACCTGAAAGCTACCTCTAGGGACATATGTCTACAAGCAAGGCCACAGTTCCCGAACATCACTACCAACTAGGGACCGCGTGTTAGAATACATGGTATTTTCACTCAAGCTGCTGTAGGAGATGGCAGAAGCTTGTTCTTATTACCAGCCACATGATTTTCTTTTCCTCAGAGCTCTCTTGCAGGTGCACCTACTTAGGTGCTCCGTGTTGTTTTCTTGGGGGATGGTTTCATATCCCTTGAATAATCGTTGTCCACTGGTTACTCTTTGAACCTAATGGAAGAGCCGTGATTGATATCTTAAAGAATACCAGGAAATAGAATTTGATCAATCTCTGATTTTTTTTTCTTTTTCTTTTTTCGAGTCCTTAATCCATATATATATATATATAATAACTATTGAAAAGGTAATATTTTCATCTATCACTTATAACTAGTATTTTCATTATCAGTGTAGAGAAGTAGGTTTTCAGAGGGTGTATCCTATTGGTAATACCTGTTTTCTTATGACCTCTGTCTAATCGCATATGTAATATAACAGGTAACTGGCGGTTTGAATGAAAATGGCCCCATAGGCTCCTGTGTTAGAACGTTTGTTCTGCAGTTGGTAGGACTATTGGGGAGGGATGAGGAAGCTTGGTCTTGTTGAAGGAAGTGTGTCACTGGGAGTGGGCTTCTGAACTTGTGACAAGCCAGTGCTAATCCTAGTAAGGCTCTCTGAGAAATCAGATTGCTTTTTACTGTGTCTTCCTTTTACAGATGGATCAAATGGCTTCCAAATTTGTAACAATATTTTCTTCAGTCTGAATCCTTAGTTTCAGAAACCCTTGGGTAATTTTTGCTTTCTTATTTTAATTGTAAAACTTTGTCAAGATAACTATCAAAATACACCATATACCTTCAGCTAATCTTGTTTAAACACATGGTTGCCTATCACCTCCAGACCAGCCGCTTCCAACGCTTCCAACGCGAGGCCTTCTTCATTAACAACCACTCATTCCTTCTCCCCTTGCTTTTCCAGTGGCCTGGAGCTTGGAATTGTTCATCACTGGGTTTCTGCATAAGCACAGGTTCTACCCAGTTCAGCCCTCCTGGCCATCTTGTCTTCCTCTGGATTAGCCTTACTTGGGCAATTATATCTCATGCTGTCTTACAGCTCTTTTCCCTGGGGTGTGGAGGGGCATTTTATATGAAGGTCAGCAAAGTGCAGTTGTCCTTTGTGTGGTTTTAAGAAATTAGCTAAAGTTTCACTGTTGTCTCAGAAAATAAACCTTCAGGAGTTTTTGGTGTCATTTACTAACATTTTTTTTTTTTTTTGCCTTTCAATTTCTGTTTTTAAAAATTCATTTGTAGCATATCATTTTTTATAATGGAATTCTTACCTTTGGT